CACACACACACACACACACACACACACACACACACACACACAAGTCTGCTCGTATTGGAGTGGGGATGACTCTCCATAGAATTGTGTGTCAAACTTACAGTGCTATGGAAATTATGTGCTTTGGGTCACGCAATGTTTGAAAAGAGAAAAACTCTACAGAGTGAAACAATGAAGAGTGTAATTCTTAATATCTTCACTACACACTCTGATGCGCTGTTGCACATTAGCACATAACCTCAACTCAGTTTAACGTCAAGCTCTAGGAGCACAGTGGAAAAAATGTTTATACTTGATGGTCTCGAACTGTACCAATATACTATACCACATACTGTACACACATATGGTATCCTTTCAATGTGTGACAGCAGTCTCAGCAGGTTGCCACTGTAATGCTGCCACAGATATTTACAACATCACAGAGTACTTGAGCAGCAAGCCGACTCTCTCCAATTGACTATGAAAAACGGCACAGCGAGGTTCCCCCGGTTGGATCAAAGGGAAAGATGCTTCAATACTTTGGCCCCATTTCATTCGTTAAAGGTAACCTTTTTGTGCGTAGAGTAGGTGCTGGCTGTGTAGTCAACAAGAAGTGAGCTGTCAAATCAAGAAACTAGAGGAGTGGCAGTGACCTCATGTAAATAAAACACAATCCTCTCATTAGAGAGATTAGAGGAATGGGATATGGAAGGTGAGCAAATGTCTCTCTGACTGCTACTCTAAAGGACAAACATGTTGATGGAGGGTGTTGTGCTCCTTCAGTATGACACAGGTATTCGAACAGATGGCATGACCTGCGTGGTCCCCGTTTCTCTCCACACTCTGCATGGTCAACTAAACGTCCAGGACAATGACAGCAACATGGCAATTACAGTCCATGAATAAACCATGGGATGACTTTGTTTTGAAAACATGTCATTCCCAAACAGTGGGACGCCTGATTTAAGCTCACATATTTTTATTTATTTATTTTTTGGTAAATGTTCCTTTTAAAATTAAAGCAGAAAGAGACCGTTGAAAGGCTGACAGATTTAAATCTGAAAAAAGAGATGAATGAAGAAAATGGATGAGACTGTCTGATGTTTAAAAAAAAGGGGGGTGGGGGAGTGACAGATAGAGATGGGGAGGCACAGTGAGGTTAGAAGGATTTAGCAGATGGGGACTAGTCCCTGTGTAAATATGCCTTATATAAAGCTTTTAATAGATTTCCTGTGGGTTTTAAAAGACCTTTTTCGGCCTGACCTGCTCCCCCCCCCCTCTCTCTCCTTGTCAAATAGCAATGAGCGGACAGCTTTAAAAGTCTCTAATTATTCACACAAACATATCCCTGTGTGGCCTTGGAGAGGCCGTGGGCTGTAAAGTAAAGGCTTTTTACTGTGGGGGG